AATTACATACACTGTACACTCTTGTCCTATATGTTCAAAGGAAGTGTCAAATTTTCCCCTAAAATCAAAACTTTTTAATTATAAATTTGTACCAAAAAGTTGCAAACAATAGAATCAAATCTATATAACATTTTACATCCATCAATCATAATTTCAACTTCCAAATGCTTGGTGGTAACAAGTGAAATTTTACCATTAATACTACATCATCCACAGAACAACTGTGGATAATATGAATCAAATATAAACACAGTACTCTGGTACTAAGTGACTCCACCACTACTCCCCAATAATGGCTCAGTACAAGTTATGAAGGTGTTGTTTGACTGTGCTGGCTGGCCAAATATTCAAAGGGTATTTGACCGTTAGCTGCGGAGATTGTTTATGATTTTACTGCGATTTTAATGGGATTGTGGACAGGATGGCTGTGGGCATTATTACACTAGTCATTACATAATAACTTAAATGTTAAATGCTTGATCATTATCTCCCTTAATTATCTTGTGATACTCCAAGATGTCCCACTTCTCTTTTGGACATATGATGATGTAGGTTGGGTTGGGTTAGGGTAGATAAACATTTTTTAGTCTATACCTGATACCTAAACTGTATCATAACCGTTAAACATTGAGCTGTTGGTTAATAGATTTATAATTTAATCATGTTTTATCTTCCTTATCATTAATTTTACGTGTTCCTATCTCTACTTGGTCGATTGTTTAAAGTTATCAATAAAATAATATGTAGTATATTCTGTGGCCACAAGAACCTTAGAGCCTTCAAGATATTATATTATATTTATAATTTGTTAGTTATTTAAGTTATAAAGGTAATATTAGTAAATTGAAACAAATTTATACAGTAAAACCATTCATAAATATATTGAATAATAATTATTGCCATACAATAATATGATATATAACTGAGGGTAAAATAGTGCTATAAGCCCTGGCTACCTGTTACACCTCCCCCCACACAGCAAGTCTCTATACCTGGTCCTCACAACTATTATAAGGCTCTCTCTCTCTCACAACCCATAATCCCTGCACACTTATCAGTCATAGTAACACACAAATGAGTCCTCACAACACAATATTACACCAATACAAACCAATTTTCTTCACAATATTTTTCGCCGCTGTGTTTACATTTCCCTGACATTATAAAAGGAACAGCTTTTACATTAAATTTAGTTTTTAAATGCCCTAATATTATAACAATATTCTATGCTATTATTACTTCTCTTAAATTGTGTAAATTTTGTTACTATGTGTACTTTGGGAATAATACCTTGATTATTTTATATAAGGCCTCCCTCCACATGGGACAGAAGACATTCCTGCTCTCCCTAAATAAATAGACAGCTTCGAAATTTGTTTCTTACCTCTATCTTTCATTCTTTCCTTTTTGTTTTGATGAGAGGAAGAAGAAGAATAATAATAAGAAGGATTAATGTTTTTGTTTTGATGAAAGGAAGAAAGGAATAATAATGTTTTGATGAGAGGAAGGTTTAAGGGGTAACTATTATATTTAATCACAGAAAATAGAGCAGGGTAACTATTATATTTAATCACTATAAAGACTAGGGGTAACTATTATATTTAATCAGTGAATTTGGAGGAAAATGCAAGTGTACAGCAGCAGCCAATATAATAAATATTGACCTTGTATATAGCTTTTATTTTTTTATTAAACTTGTTTATATATTAACAGTCTTGGTCTGTCCTTCACTGTCCACAAGAGTATTGAAGTAGTTAGGTTGGTTGGTGATAGAGAGGAGTGCATTAGCTCTGAGGGTGCAGTGCAAGGCCGGTCTCAGTCAAGCCAAGTTATTCTATTTGATGTTTTCTCGAGGCTTTTTATATTAGGGGAGTCCCCCCATGATCCTTGTGTCACTAGAAGGATGATCCCCATCTTTTTTGTTTCTAGTTTTTATTGTGGGTTTTTCTGATCTTTCTACAAGATGGACTTCCCGTCTTATATAGAATTTGAGTTTTATTTTTGGTAATATTGAATATTTTTGTTATTTCTCCTATATATTTCTATTTTGCTTCATTAATTAGTTTTACTTTATATTTGCTAATTACTAGTTAAAAATAAAAAATAAAATTTAACAATTGTTCACTCAATTATTTAAATAAATTGTATAAGCATTTAATACTTAAGAGTGTGTCACTTTGGTAAGGGAAACTATGTCAAGTCCTGTAAGTTTAATTTACTCTCTCCTCTTCGTCACAGATCGTCTTCTTACTTGTACTTCACACTCTAGTGCCTCATATTTCCTCTTGAATTATTCTAAAGGTATAAACTATATTTACTGTGTTATTACCGTATATATGGTCGCCCTCAGTCCACATTCCTGCCACTAGGGTACAGGAACAGGGTGTATTAATATACCTTCTCAGTGGAAACTTTTCTTTTTTTGCAGGTACTGCACTGTAAGTCGCCGCTATTCAGGGACTACATCACCAACCTCACAACACATTCACGTAAATTGTTCTCAGTTAAATCAGTCGTTGTAAACAAGGAAAAAAATAACTTCTCCCATTATAACTGACTTTGTACTCACACTGTTAAAGCTACATTTATTTACATCAGTTGTAAAATTAATGAGGGACATCTGTACTGTTCTGTACTGTGCTGTACTGTGATATACTGTACATCAGTTGCAGCACTAATGAAAGACATCTGTACTGTACTGTACATCAGATGTAGCATTAATGATGGACGTGTGTACTGTACTGTATATCAGATGTAGCATTAAAGAGGGACATCTTTACTGTACCGTACAATACTGTACATTAGTTGTAACATTAATGAGGGACATCTGTACTGTACATCAGATGTACCATTAATAATGGCGTTACAGCTACATTTATTTTTATAAATTGAAGGCTAAAGTCTACATATCTCCCTTAATATGGATCTAATTGATCTGAAATTAATTATGAGCAAAGAAACCTTAGCTTAAAGTGCCACTTTGTTCAATGTTCTTATGAATGCAAGCAGATGAGTGCTAACAGGCATTAGTTGATCCATAGTTTACCATGATGAGGTGTATCAAGTGAAACTTGTATATTGAGCAAGTAACAACATCACTACATTACAAGATGTTGTAACTGATAGACTAAGGTTAGGATATAAATACCTCTGGCAGTATGTCCCTCAGGTAGATGTGAACAAGACCAAATGTAAAGTGTGTGGCCAGACATATGGCCACATTCTGGTCAGTATGTCCCTCAGGCAGATCTGAACAAGACTAAATGTGAAGTGTGTGGCCAGACATATGGCCACACACTCCAAAACTACATCCTTGTCTGTGTGATAATAGAACCTGAATATTAACCCCCAAGTGCAGTACAGAACAGTACAGTACAGTACAGTATAATATGGATCAGTACAGAACAGTTAACAGGGGGGTCAGGTCGGGTCGTGTTTTTGGCTGTATCACTGTCAGGATAAATATTGAACAAACCAAAGGTAGAATTTTTATAATAATAAACTATTCATCATTATTTTATACTTTTACTTTTATCCTCTTCACCACTGATCGGCTCGTTAGCCACTTGGGCTATCGGTTACGTCTCTGATTTCTTTTCCTTTTCTTTTATCCTCTTCACCAAAAGATCGGCTCGCTAGCCGCCTGGGCGATCGGTCACGTCTCTGTCACGCACTGTTGGCAAGTACTGGGCATGCACCGGCTCCTGAATGTACCTGAACCCACTCCAGTGTTGGTCAAGTCTTGTCTTGAAAGAGCTCACACTCGGTGCCGTCACAACACTCTCTGGTAGATTGTTCCAAGAGTTTACAACCCTCACTCCAAAAAAGTTTGGCCTCACAGTTTTCTGGACTTGCGGCTTCTTCAATCTTGAGCTGTGACCCCCTTGTGGGGCGAGCGTCCGCCAGCTCCAAGTAAGGACACTCGACTGAGTAGTGCCCCTTGAGATTCTTATACTGTACACCTCAATATCATGAGAAGTTTCCAAATGTTTGAAGATTTGCTTAAATAGTAATTAAAAAAATATATTACTGAATTGGCAACTCAACTACAACCACAGCTGCCACAAGATTCTCACATCAAATTTTCTTCATTATTTAAGCAAATATATGAACATTTGGAACTTCTCATAATCTAAAATAATGATAATTAGTTTATTATTATTATAAAAATGCTACCTTTGGTTGTGGAAAAACCACTACACTGCTCTAATGTGGCTGAGAAATATAGAAAATACAATATAAAACTATATAAAATAAGAAAAATTAAAAACATATGTGGGAAGTGTGTGTGTGTGTGTGTGTGTGTGTGTGTGTGTGTGTGTGTTGAAGCAGTGGGTTACTGGGCTATAACTGAATGGTTGTGATCCCTCCCAACGTAAGGTCATGCCATACACATGTCTGTGAGTCAGCTGGGTGACTGCCTGAACTGTGTCATATCGCCAAGAGGATAGTTTGAGTGTGGAAAGAGCCGTTTCCTGTACAGAAAATGCATGCTATTATATTTTATGATATACTACGTATCAATTTTATTGTATTCGTCATATTAATAAATATGGCAGCTATAAATTACTGAAAAGAGGTCAAAGGACATACCTGTATATCCCTCACAATAGTTGGCGGGTAACTGACCACAAAGCACGAGTCTTGAGACAAAGATTACACCTGAGTTGAGTTGTCAATCAAACAAATATCCAATACAAAGTATTTCGTCCTGCCTGTACATTCAAAATATACCGCAAAAATTAAGAACGTTGAGGAAAGTCACCCGCCTTTAAGGGTTAATTACCCAGAGTAACAAAAAAATGCCATCAAAAGTTCACAGGTGGTGTGAAATTAACATATTTGTTTGGCTAATTGAATTATTCCAAGTCATTGGGATAAGTAATTATCCAAAATCCAACTATTTGAACACAGATCCTTGATCAGCATGAACCACACAGCAACTTTGTGTTAAGTGTGTGTTCTTTTTGTTTGTTATGTCTAAATGGTTATAATAAATGTTTATATATAAAACGGTTTTATTATAAAAAAATTTATTACAATTTCCGACAATTTATGGTAAGTTCTTCAACATGAATCCCTTTGAAATGATGTATTGATGACTTCACTAATTTTTAACAAAAATAAAAATAAACAAAAACCAAGGTCTCACATGAATTCAACACTAATACTTCTCTTTAAGTCATACTTAAATTAACGGCTACACAACCAGTCGATAAGAAATATATCGTCCTGCCGTCTCAGATGGTCGGATAATCTTGACAACCTGACCACGTTTAAGACCAAAATATCGTGCCACTGGGTCACCTGCCTGGATCCTCATCAGTTGATTGTCTTTGAGTTTATACCTACAAAAAATAAAACCAGACTTAGAATATGACTGTAAAATCATTACTCCTCTTATATTTATACTGTATGTGGGGGTTTATCATGAAGTACAAAGACCCCAAAGAAAGGGTGTCAATATGGTATTAGCAGAATCAAGCACAGAAAGTAACATGAAGGTCTCAGATGCCAAGAACACTCAAACATGTACACTGTGCTCATTTATTTAATCATCATTCTAGCCCTCCCTGCACTAATGGCAGATGATTTAAAGACGAGAACTTCAACTTTCAGACTGATTTATACATTACCTATGAAGGTCCACAGCAGTGTTGCCGATGTATACCATTTTCGTCTGCTATGTGAACTAAAAAAGCGCGGGAAGTTTGAAAGGGAAACTGAGAATTCACAGTTAACGAGAGTGCGAACAAAAAGTTCACACATGTTTTAAAGAGGAAAATACAAAATAAATGAAGAATAGAAGATGTATTTATTAAAGTTTAAATAAAATAGTAACTTCTTTGTTCCGAAATGATGTACAAAGTCTGTTCATTGATATACAGTATATTGCATACATTAACGTAATTTTCCCTTATCACATGGCAGTTGCGAGACTGATAGAGCAATGGAAACCTTTTAAACTATATTTTACCAGCATAAATATGGAGGAAAAATTTCACACAATTTCATCTATTCTAGAAAGCTTAAATGATCCACCCATATGAATATAATTCCATTTTCTCAACTATATTTTGCCAAAGTTTAATAACTTAAACCTTCTTTTCCAACGTCAGGAACCTTCAATACAAGTATTGCATAAGAGATGCAGTGATCTTTACCGTGATGTATTGTGGAGTTACAAGAAGAGAGATGAAGTGAACAGGATCTCAAGTATAGCAAATATAGTTCCTGAAGACAACACAGAATTCCTCCCCCTTAATCAGATATATCTTGGGATAGAAGTTCATGGTCTCCTTCAGTCTGAAGAGTATAGGGACAGGAAAGGCATGATAGAAGATGTGATGAATAGGTGCAGGCAATTTATGATCATATCTTACAAAGAAATTAAAAAAAGGTTTCCACTTGGTAACAAACCTATACAGATGTGTTCTGTATTTTCAGTAGAAAATTTTTTAAATCTGCAGTCGAGGGTGACAATGCCTTCAATGTTACCTTTAATCTACGCTTTCCCTAGAATATCTCTCACGAACAAACAGCAGCTGGATAATGAGCGGAGAGCCATTGACAACATAAAATTTCCAGACTACTGTATATGAAAAATTAAAGAAATGCAGAGCTATTCTACAAGGAAATGACAAGTATGAAAGATGATTTTGGTGAACCATATTTCCGTGAGCTGCCATACTTTGCTCTGAAGATATTGCCTTTGCCCAAATCAAATGTTGATGTAGAAAGAATCTTTTCCAAGGTGAATCTGACCAAAACTAAGCAAAGAAATATTCTTTCTATGCAGACTTTAACATCTCTAATCATATCATCTGAAATGGTTTACAAATGTGGAGAATGTGTTTCATTCGAGCCAAGTGAAAATTTGATTTGGTTTGTAAAAAATCATGATTAATTGTAAATACCATGTATATGTATTGTTTATTACCTTTGTATTTCATTACAAAATGGGGAAATATATGCACACTTTGTTACAAACTAAAAATTTTTCTAAACCTTATTACGACTTCTTTTTTATTCCATACCAAAATAAAACGATTTCAATGTCAATAAATATTGTCTTTGAATATTTTCTATTTATTTTCTGTTTAATTCAGTTACTCAATAATTTTACACGTTTTCTCTTATGTGATGTATGGCAACTGGCCGATGTGAACTAAGCGACAACACTGGTCCACAGTCTGTGCCATTCACTTTCTCATCTGGCTACAAGTGCTTCATAAAATCATCCTTTGACATCTTATCATACAGGGTGCACTAAAATCAGGGCCTGATTTTGTGACTTTGTTGTGAAGTAATTACATAATTAAATTACAAGATCATATGGGAACTCAAAAAGGACATCTCGACATTTGATAATTATTCACTGCAGAATTTTTTGTAATTAACATTCTTGATGAGTGCACCATTTCGGTTCATACAAGCCTTGACACGCACACCAAAGTTCGACACAACCTGCTTGCAAGTTTAGGGGTTGCTGCACGTGTGAAGTTGACCATCTCCTGTTTCAGGGAAGCCTGAAGCTATTCCTTTTCGATCAAATTATTCCAACAATCTCCGTATGACTTTATCACAATTAAGATCTTTCCCATTTGTCAAACCATATTCGATGCAGAATTTGCGTCATATAGCAACATAGGATTTCCTCTCATGGTACCAAGTTATGAGTTTTGCTTTCTGCTGCAAAGTTAGCTTCATAGTTCATGTATCTAAATGAAATTTGCTGAGAACAAATGCCATATCATAGTTCACAACACCTGAAAAACAACAAGCTGTATGTTAAAAATTGAGGTTGTGGTAAAGGCGCGAAATTAGGTATTTTTTAGGGCGCATCCTGTAGTTCTCTATACAGTACTTTCTTTTTACTGTGTGTAAATTATGTGTTTCAGTACCTTTTTATTCTCAAAATAGGTGGTTCTTATGCTGCTCAATGCAAATAGTTAACACATCCTTGTTCCATTCTCATTTTCTCCTGATACATCCAAACTTCCAGTCACTCCAACTATTACTATCCATCTCAGTCAGTCTTTTCTTCCTTCACAAGTACAACTGCAATTTCATTTTCTAACTCAGTCCACAAGCCATCCTCACATGGGGCAGATGCAACCTAAATACCTGTAATGATATTCTAATATTCACATACTCATAAGAAAACATACATTTACACCATGTTCCTCTATCCTACAATCTCACTGCTCATCACCAACATCCATTAAACTAATACGAATAAGTAATCTCCCAGTGAGTGAGAACATTTGGTGCAGAGCGTTTCTGGGTAAAGAGTATCGAGACAAATTATCTTAAGAGTGAAAGGTTATGGCAGTAAATTAATAGGTAGACAAAACATAGAGAGAGAGGGAGTGATGACATAGGACATGACTATATTTGTGGAGCGTCATGACTAAATGAATTAAATTTTACCCGAGTCACTCTAATACAGTACATGTACAGTAAAAAGTGGGGTAAAACATTCATTATCAAGCTTAATATAATACAGAAGAACAATCCAGGTACAAAAATATTCAATAAACTAAGTTACCTCCCACAAAATAGAGTGTTGGCAGCACTGAGAACAACACATTTCATTCAAACTTACTGTAAGATTAAATAAACTTCCTTAGGTTAAGAGAGGAGAATACGAAACAGATTAGCTCACCGCTGAAGTAGTTCTGTCTTCTCTTCTGCCGTCATGACCACGTGCTCTGGGACCAACTCATGTTCAGTGATGTTGATCAACAACTCTGACTCAAGGAACTGCTCCAGGATATACTTAGGTGCCATATCTACCAATGCCTGAAAATAAATAATAGCTGGTCTTTTGTTTCTCAAAAAGCAACAGTTCAACTTCTATCATTCATATGCCCTTAAGTTTTAATACTTCTTAAATCCTGAAATTTTCCATCACGTACTCTGTTGAAGATCATAAGCTTTCAAAAAAAGGAAGGTCTTAAGTTGTTTCCCAAAGGCTTCTAAAGAAGTCAGTTGCTTCATGGATAGACAACCGATTGTACATTCTGGGTGCTGTATAGGAAAAGGATCAAGCAGCAAAAGAACATTCCCGTACTGCTCTAGGCTCCTCAGGGCGTGGAATTAGTAGGTTGGCCAAATACTTTGGCTCACCAAACAAGAGTGTCTTAAAAGTCATGAGAGAGAGTTGGAACTCTATGTTATTTTTAATTGGAAGCCCCATGTGTCTTTGATGTTGTAATTTTTTCATTATTTCCATCTTAGTGTGTTACTCAATCATGCCTAGACGCCCCAGTGACAGTTCCTCTTGTGCATAATAAGAGTGGTGATGGACCAGCAAAGAGTGTTAGAGACTTGAACTTGCCACCCTAGACCATCTCTACCATCCTCAACACAGGTAAATAAGTGTCAATTTATGCTTCACATCACTTATTAAAGGTTTATTATAAGTACAGTAGTTGCTTTATATGTCTGATTTATTTTCTTGCTTGACAGTGTGCAGTACATTATATCAAGGGTAGATGGGAGTTTTTGGAGGGGGGCTGGTGCCTAACCCCTTGAATTTGTTATGTTCTTATGGGATTAATTGCTTTGATAACCGTTGATTCACTAACCAATTACTTTTCCCGGTCCCAATATGTGTCGGTTATCAAGGTACACCTGTACCTCATACTTATTTTTCATTTAATTTTCTTTTAAAAAGGCTTATGCTATGTCATATTGATTTATAGTTAGCGTGAGATGTATAACTATTGGATCAGAGGTTACGGGAGTGGTAACTTCCCCAAGCTGTGACCACCCATGGTTCAGCAAAATTGCTGGTCCTGCTTTGATCTGGCTCTAATGGTGCCAGAAAATCAGTGGTCAACTTGATTCTGCACTTATAAAAACCAAAGTAGAGACAACTTATACTGGTCTCACCTGCTTAGCTGAGGGAGACATTCCTGACTGGACAACAATAATTGCTCGCTGAATGTTCTCCTCTTGCATCCTGGTACAATAGGTCTTTATGGTCCTGACACCAACCTGTAAAGACAACACCACCGTAAAACATGTCAAATGAGGCACTAATCCTAATACAGTATCTCATATTATAGCTGAGAACAAATCAGTTGACTCATGTGCAGTCAGCAAGTCTGGTGTTAGCCAGAATAAAATACCAACTAAGTGTGACACTGTCCTCTAAAGGGTTAAGTGAGAACCCAGACCTCAGGATCGAACGAGTGTGACTCATGATCTGTAATAACTAGCTCAGAAAATAATCTTAAATTCAATAATCCTTCTTAACATAATGCAATTCCTTGTAAAATGAAGTTTAAGAGACATTTGTTACCAATCATGGCTAAGAATCACTACTGCCACATTAGCAGACTCAAAATCTCAGATTGATACTACCAATAGTCACAAGGGGAAGGTCAGAGGAGACAGGAAAAAGGATTGATTAACTGATTGATTGTAGTAATTACATCCCTGGCGACGCAACAGCTTAAGTCAAATGTCGCCGAAATAAAATAAAAGCTTAGAAGACTAAAATCAAATAATGCACGGTAAAAAACATAGCTAAATATAATACTTTTACTTGTTTTTAATTTTATCCTTTTCACCACTGATCAGCTTGTTAGCCACTTGGGCGGTCAGTCACGTCTCTGTTACGCACTGTTGGCAAGTACTGGGCATGCACCGGCTCCTGAATGTATCTGAACCTGCTCCAGTGCTTGTCAAGTCTGGCCTTGAAAGAGCTCACACTCGGTGCTGTAACAACACTCTCTGGCAGGTTGTTCCAAGAGTTCACAAATTTGCTCTAAGGTGGACAACCTATTATCCCGGACACCCCTTCCCCAATTAGTCCACCTTAGCGAAGTTTTACTGTATTCTTAATATTATTTGTATCAGTTTGTAAAAGTTGCAACAGGTATTTGTTTCATTGAATATATTTATGATTCATCAACTATAATTTTTTTTACCAGGATTGACATAACTTAATGGGGTTTCAGACAGGCTGTCATACAGTATTTGATCACTTCAATGTAACAGTTATATTTTATAAAATTTATAAAATGTTCAGCAGTAAAAACACCTTAGGATTTGCTGTAGTCTATGGCTGCAAAAAATAAAAATAAAATGAAAAGGGTATCTCAACAATTTTGATGCTGGTCCATTTAGGGTTAAATACAATTTCTATAAAATATAGACTATCTTTACTATATAAACATGTCAGTTTTCGTTTTCCCTCAAAATTTCAATCGACGTAAAAATACGGCCGACCTAATAGCCTGCGATTCAGCATTTAGAGTTATACCGTGGATTTTGCTCAAATTTTATACAAAGGTATGGTACTACTTTACACACTGATAAAGGATATAGGTTCACAATTAAAAAATTCAAGTAACTGGTGTTAATTAGTGACCTTTGAAATAATAAAGGATATTTAAAATATTTAGTAATTCAATTATGCTGTGCCTGGAGTACTGTACTGTACATGTTTTTCTGGCTCTGGAGGCAGCCACCAGTGCCGTTATATTAACCAGATAACAATACAGCCACGAGTGCACCCAAACAATGGTGCAAAAAACCTAAACATCATATGATGTCTGGGGGAAAATCTTCAGGTGATCCAAATACTACGGTAGTTACAAATACTGTACTACATACTGTACTGTACCGTACTTACCTTTGGTTCATCTGGGAAAAATACAAACATCTGATCAGTGGGATCATCATTGTGAGCGACCAAGACAATAAGATCTGATCTGGCTGGATGTCTCTCAGAGGGTTTGTCTCCAAACTGTTCCTTGAACTGATCCAGAGTTTGGTCCAACTCATCCTGTGTCACCAGGTACCCACGGTCGTGACACAGCTGCATGATAGTCTTGCGGATTCGCCAAAGTTTGTAAGTTTCGGCTTCGTCTTCCATACTTGCTAATTCTTAGGACCTAAAAAAAAAATTACAAATGTAATTACAAATGAACCTTTAACTAAAAATATGGAAATGGTGGAGATCTTGTTTGGATGATACTGAGTAATAAAATCGAAACAACAATATTGTAGTATTTTTTCTTTTTAGCCTACCCTTCAATCATAAATTATGTGTTAGTGGGCAGGGCACGACAAGACGGAAATAACGGGGTAAAAACACCGCAAACACTGATTATATGGCAACAATTTCACGTGTCTTCATGCTTTGAAGGCAAAGAAATAAATTATTTACTGTAATTATGGCGCCGTCAGATCTCCCGCGGTGACCATGTTTTGGTTCACATTTTCTGCTATATGGGAGTGTCCGCAATCTTTGTTTACTAGTCAAGAAACAAAAAATGATCTCATCGGGCATGTCTGTTACGATATATATTTTGAATTTTGAAGGCTCTTAATAACGTGTGATAAGTGTTCTTTCCCTTATCTAGCTGTTATTCAGTGAGTTTATGCGAAAGACTGTGAAGCAATCCAAATATTAAAATATCATGGTTTCCTACTAACACCAAGACTGTGTCCTAAGTGTGGAAATTATTTACTTTTAAGAAAAGACAGAATTTCTTGTCTGTAACCATAAGCGTACCAGATCGCCCAGCTGTATCCTCCACCACCGGTCCCACTAATTACTCAAATGTAGCCGCAATGAAGTCAAATAATGGTCCTACATGAATAAATCGGACTGCCAACCACTTCTCGACTAGTATTTGGTGTCACGAAGTCACAAAAAATTGGAAAACTTAATTTAATCTGAGCTGTGTTAGGTTAGGTTAGGTTAGGTACATGCACTTGATCTTATAACTCAGATTAAATTAAGTTTACCAATTTTTTGTGACTTCGTGACACCAAATACTAGTCGAGAAGTGGTTGGCAGTCCGATTTATTCATGTAGGACCATTATTTGACTTCAGTGCGGCTACATTTGGGTAATTAGTCGGACCCTCCATCACAGTAGCATGCAAGCCTCAAAAAATGGTTCGGTTAGGTTAGGTTTGTTTTTTGTTTTTCTTTTTTTGGAGTTTTACTCAAACCTGACCGTCATTTTGGTGCAAATTAGCGGTTTCGGTTACAAATAAATCTTTTTATTTATTTAAAAAACACTAATTTATGCAAGAAATGGAGGTCAGTTTGGATAAAACACACTATAATACACCCCAAAAAATATATTCTTGTATTAAAACCTGAGGAGAGCCAATGGACGAATATTTACCTTCACGTGGTACAATATACATTAATATTATATAAAACAGAGGGTAAAATAGTGATATAACCCCTGCCTCCCTGTGACTCCAGCCAGCAGACCCCGTACAGCAGGTCTCTTACCTTGTCAAAAATGTCCTCACAACTCTCATAAGGTTCTCTCTTCCAACACCTTAATCCGTGCACACACATATCCTTCATATTAGTACACAAATGACTCCAGACAATACAATACTGCAGCTATACAAACCAAGTTACCTCACAACACCATGCTACTTTGTTTACAAGGGAGAGACAGTGTTACCAGATCTAGTTTGTCGAATTATGCTAGACTCTTTAACAATGTGCTAAAATTAGCGAAATTTCCCATCCAGGCACAGATCACTGACCCACATCGGGGCCTGGGGGGCGAAAATGTAATAATAATAATGATAATAATAATAATAATAATAATAATAATAATAATAATAATAATAATAATAATAATAATAATAATAATAATATCTTGGTCACAATTTTTGTGCTGCCATATGATAGCAGGGTCTACCATTTGAAAACACATTATGCTTCCAGGGGGTAGTACCTCCCCGTTTGGTAGCTGCCTACTACCTGATTCTGCCAACTTTATTCAAAGTTGTGGATGTTTTCTTTTTTCCAACGTGTTGACATTTGAGCACGAGTTATGCGCGAGTGCTCATTATAGTAAAGACTGGTGTTAAAATGCCATCTGAAGATCTGATGATACATCGAGAACACACCTAAGAAATGAATGAATAGACCATGACTTTTTCTCCATATTATCCATATATATATTACTATATTTGTACTTTGTGAAAACTTTTACATTTTTCCATATTTCTGAATATTTCATTGTAATCAAGAGTTCTAGACACACGTGGCCATATAGGTAGACTGCCATGACTTCGGGTCTGTCCGCCAGCCACACAACTGACCTGAACTTAGGCCTCTTGGTTCAAGTGAACAGAGTATAGTTGCAATAAGAGGTAGGTTAGGTTAAGCTGGGTGCAGTAGTTTTAGCACTATTTAGAACTCTGGGGGATGCAACGTTAAATAAATACACCGCCCATCACATTTCCAGTATCATCTCATTCTGAAGAAGGTAGTGGAGAATAATATCAACAGGAAAACATAAGTTGTGGTGTTGTGTTGACTGACTGCTCTCTTCTCCTATTGGCTGTATGTTGGTGGGTTAAAGAAAAGTCAAGTAAGGTACTGCTGTCCGTGAGAGTGTGTGGGGGCACCAGTGCCCCTGGCAGTGCCCCTGAAAGCACCGCCATCCCTGGGAGTGCTGCAGTTGTTGGGACTTCCCCCTGGGGGTGTCACCGTCCCTGAGAGTGCTGCAGTTATTGGGATGACCCCTAGGAGTGCCACCATCCCTGGGAGGGCCCCTGGAGGCACCACCGCCACTGGGATGGGCCCTTGGGCCGCCACTGCTTCTGAGAGGGTCCCTGGGGGCGCCACCGCCCAACACGGCCCCTGGGAGAGCTGCCGTCCCTGGGAGCGCCACTGTCCCGGGAGAGCCCCTGACATGGCTCCTGGGAGTGCCACAGTCCCTGGGAGCGCCGCTGTCCATGGCAGGGCCCCGAGGAGCGCCACCGTCATTGGGAGGGCTCCTGGAAGTGGCACCGTCCCTAACAGGGCCCCTGGGAGTGCCCCTGGGGATGTCAGCGCCCCTGGCAGGGCCCCTGGGGGTGCTGCCATCCCTGGGAGGGTCCCTGGGGTAATTTTTCAATAATATGATTGTTTTGGGGAAAAAAGAGAAAAAAGCCACACAAAAGATAAGAAAAAATCAGACTTTGGAACGCATCTCATTATTATTGCTTTATTTTAATGGTAATTAATGATTCACAAAACGATGATTCACCTTACACTGCAATACTGGAGGACATAATTATTATCATCGTTATTCAAGGCTTTACTGTACTGTACAAACATATTCAACTAAAGCAACAAAAACTTTCTTAACTTATTTGTGTGCCTGTACAGAACAGCACTTGTGGAACAAACAGCAGTGCCGTGTTCTTGTCCAACCTCGACATATCTCCACATCATATACTACACAGGGAGGTGAGTAAACACCCTATTTAACCTTATTATGTTTATACAAATGTACATCTTATTTTTTCTCATTAACTTGTCTTTAAATGTACAGCTTATAAAGTTCCTATTATAATTTGTTAACTTCTGAATAGCACAGTGTATAGTGAAATCTCCATATAGCAGACCTCTCTCTCTCCACGTGGGGGATTTCACATCTAACGGACCCTCAATATAACAAGACACTCATCTCCATAGTTGGTCAGATTGGGGTGTCACATCCAACAGACCCTCAATATAACAGGCTTTCCTACCTATATAGTTCGTTACATAGAGGTTTCACTTTACAGTAATGAGATCTGCACTGGTATACTTTGTAATGAAATACTTACACCAAACACAACCTTCTTCAAAACAGAATGTAAACACAAAGAGAAACTACACTACATAACCATACATGCCCAGTGCTTGCCAACTGCACATAACAGACTGTCTGCCCGAACAGTTAGTAAAGATGACAAGTGACAAAGAGGATAAGAAAGAAAGACTGTATGTAAGTATGCAAGAGTTACAGGATAACTTCAGCAAAAAACAGACAACTTACAGGCAATGAAAAGTGCTGGGGTCAGACATCGGTTTATTACCGGTTGGTTAAGTCTTGGTAATATAATACATCACAGTGACAGTTTGACAATACAGGTGTGGTTCATGCTAACAATGATTCATCTGTCAAGCTGTTTACACAGCCACTTCAGCCAGGGGAGCATTGTGGAAGGTAATCTCACATTACTTGGAAAATGACTCTGATTAGGAAGAGAGTTGTTTTGACAATTTATTCTTATTATATGCACCCTAACTATCTGTATGTTAATATCAACACAGTAACTTATTTTATTACTGACGTGTGGCCTGTATGTGTTAAATGTAAAGGTTAATTTGTATTTGTGCTCCAGTTAATAACCATTATGCACATCTCATAACTAACACTGTAATATTTCCTATCAGAGCTTGGAATTATCTTAAGAAACTACAAGTTCATAGTTGATACACTATAGTGCGGTTTTTTTCCCAGCTGAGAAGAGATGCCCCGCCCCCTCCTCAAGAGTTACAGCTGATTAGTCTTGCAAATCTGTCCGATTTAGTCCTGAAGTAATGATTTATTTCTAAATAAGTTTATTCATAATCATTGGAATACCCATTTCTGATGAGGATACTTAGCTAAATTATATAAAGATACTGTACATATATTTACTATTTCAAACATGAGCACATAGGAAGTCTATCAGAAATCTTATACATGAATTAACTGTTAAACGCTGGTAGCAAATTCACACTTTCGGCGGACGCATTTAAAATGACCTACTTTTACACACAATAAGGCATAATAAGACGAATTACATATCAATAATACTACATTAAACAAAACTAACATTTCAAAAGATCAGAATCACATTGAAATATTACACGGCTCCTGAAAGTTGGTGGATGAGTGTGACAGACTTGGCCGCTCGAGCGAACAGCCTTCAGCAGAGGCGGGAAATATGACTGCAGATGACTTCAAGCAGACGACTTTAGGACTTTCCCAGAGTTCTCTGCTTTAACTCAAATGCTACAATATGCTGTCTACTCTCGCATCAGCAGTAATGTAGTATTACCGATACATAATTTGTATATATTAAATGGGTCCTCTGAAAGCGTGAATTTGCGACCAGAGTTTAACAGTTAATTTATGTATAATTTAGCTAAATATCTTTCTCATCAGAAACGGTCATCCCAATGATTATAAATAACTCATTTAGAAATACATAATTACTTCAGGATAAAATCTAACAGATTTGCAACAGCCAATCAGCTGTAACTCTTGTGGCGGGGGCGGGGCATCTCTTCTCATCTGGGAAAAAACGCATTATAGCAACAGATTTCCGAAACTTTCATGTACGATCAGTGAAGATGAAGTCTCTCAAAAGTCACACTAACAAACTGTCCTTTTCTAGACTTTTTGCTCCTGTGCTCCTCCTTCAACCTGATCTGTTTCATCCTCTTCTCTGATGTATCTGTAAATATACAAAATTGATTAGTGAGAATTATAAGTGTAATTACCTACAGTTACCCTGAAAGAAAATGGACTATAGAGTTAACAGGAATTATACCAGATAAAAGCTGCAAATATACTACACAAAATAAAAAAAAGACAAGCTTTATATACTTTGATTATGATAAAAACAAACATACAGTATGTATAAAAAAGTCACCCATATCATGTATCTGTCTACTAAATCTACTGCAGTATATGAAATAATGTCATTAACTTGGCTAAGGACCCACTCACACCAACGCCGGAACGGACATATTCTGACGCCAATTGTCCAAATGAGTGAGTCAAATTAACAACACATACCTGACACTAGTACAGTATATTTGAATCACATCTAATTCTAATTTCTCAAATTTTATCCTAAAGGAAGACAGTTTCCCTCTCCTTAGAAAGACAGTGAGTCGTGTAACAAGTATTAACTATGGCATCACATATTGTCTGTCTCCAGATATTTTGCAGCAGAATACAGTCGGCCCTTAACATAAGCGGGTTTATAATACACGGATTTGCAAATACGTGAATTGCCCCGCCAGAGGAATATTCTGTACATTGAAGTACATTCAAATCGCGTGCCATTCAACTCGTGCGCGGCACCTCACACGGGACACCGCCCGCTCCCGCAACCTCACACACAGGGCTGTGGAGTCGGAGTCGGAGGAAATTTCGGCTTGTGGAGTCGGAGTCGGTAAAATTGTCCAGACTCCGACTGAAGCTATTCTGTTCCTAAGAACAAATATATGAACTCAGGCATATTCATTGCAGTGATTCCACTGATCCCACTAATTTTCTTAAATTATTAAAAGAATTTATTTCCATTTTATAAGCATTATTATGAATTTATTGTAGCAGGCACAGTATAGCACTATAATTTTGGACGATAGTCTCTTCTTTACCATTTGAAATTTTGAATTATATCAAATTTTGTTTCGTTGAAAACTGCACAGAGGCTCTCAGCTACAAAACAATTAGCTACAACCTGTTTTTGGTGAGATTAAGGCAAATTTAATTTAATAACTTAATCATGTAAGGTTTATCCATTTTCCTTAATAAGGTATTCATTTCTTTAATGTACATAAATATATAACATTACTTTAAAAGGAATTGTAGGATCATCATTTAGATCCACATCAGATTATGAGCTTAAACAAAATTCATATGCTGAGATCGAACTTTTAGATATACATGTAAATGGTGTTTTCTAGTTAATATCTTGAATTCTTAATAAATTTATTTTTCTTTTGATTGAAACTTTGAAAGTCAAGCCTATCATCTTTTTGTAGTTCTTAAATATCGTCCAGATCATTAATAAAGCTGTAGCAGTATAGCCACGGTGTTTTACTTTTTACCTATGCAGGTTACAACATACAAATTACAATTAGGATGGTAGAAATAGTTGTTACAAATAGGCCAAGGAGTCGGAGTCGGAAGCATAAAAATTTGAGGAGTCGGAGTCGAGGTTTTGTCTTCGACTCCACAGCCCTGGTACCTATACTGAAATTTTGAACAAAATCCATTTTTTGGCCGAAAATGACAAAAATTGTAAGTCTAAAGCCTTAAAGGATTTTTGGCCAAAAATACGTTTTCTCTCTGAACTAAAATTTAATGTGCCTAACTATTTAAGTACATCCAGAATAATACACAAGCACCAAGAAATGACCTCGAAAACCCATAAGTGGCGAGTAATTAGCATTGCAAAAGTAATTAAAATATTCTAAAAATCATTTGAACATTTTCTAAAAGCCATTTGAACAAGTTATAATCAAGATATCAAATTTTGGTTAACAGATCCTTAAGCAGCACATTCAGGAGTACCTATACTGAAATTTTGAACAAAATCCATTTTTTGGCCGAAAATGACAAAAATTGTAAGTCTAAGCCTTAAAGGATTTTTGGCCAAAAATACGTTTTCTCTCTGAACTAAAATTTAATGTGCCTAACTATTTAAGTACATCCAGAATAATACACAAGCACCAAGAAATGACCTCGAAAACCCATAAGTGGCGAGTAATTAGCATTGCAAAAGTAATTAAAATATTCTAAAAATCATTTGAACATTTTCTAAAAGCCATTTGAACAAGTTATAATCAAGATATCAAATTTTGGTTAACAGATCCTTAAGCAGCACATTGAGGAGTTACCGTAATCGCTTTTCGAATGGTTTTCAGTTGTGGGATTATAAGGCTATTGATAGGATAGAATATTATTGTAATACAGTACGAGTACAACAGTTTTTTAACTGAAAACCATTCGAAAAGCGATTACGGTAAAATCTTTTGAATAACGAAAGAAAGCGAAAGTCATTGTTTTCGTCATGATTTTATCCCACTTTCCACTGTAATATGTACGTCATTCCAGCACAAATATTATATTTCCATATTTATCTCTGAGAATACCTATATTCATTCAGTCACAGTTAAGGTAAGATATACTTGTGATGTAATATTTTAATGAAAATACGGTATCGTAGTTTTCTTTTGTTTCAAATTTAATTAACAAAGATTGATGTTTCAAATGTAATGAACAAAAATTTATGTACAGTATCTATAAATAAACTTTAATAAATGAATACTTTATGTTTTACATCGTCCTGTGCTACCATACCATGGATTTGGCTACTTTGGGCTTGCTATGATGACGCAAGAGATCTGCCCTGGCAACTGTACTGACACTCACAGCTGGTGGTGTGTTGGTGCGTCGTTTCCATTGTTTACTGGTAGTTACTGGTAAATATTTTTCAACCTAACGAAACTATTACCCGTTAAGAGGTCGACCCCCAATTTTTTGCCAAATAATTTGGTCTTAAAAACTTGAACTACACATAGGTATATACGGTAAATAAGGACATGGGGGGGACCAGGTTTTTTTTTTGGGGGGGGGGGCAGCACATATACGCGGATTTTTAACATCCACGGGTATCTCTGTTACGTAACCCCCTGCGTATGTTAAGGGCCGACTGTATATCTGGTTCCAGCATTGGTGTGAGCCGGCCCTTAGTTAGTGTCACCATGGAATTTAAGTAACTTGTCATTTTTATTCTCAAAATTCATCTAAACAACTAATACTCCCACACAGTCATGGTCTCTTTTTTGTTTCAATCAGCTCAGGTTAAGTTAGGTTACCTTGTCATGCAGTCTCTTGATATCACTAGCTGTTGTTTCCAGTAAGTTTGTGCAGTGACACACACTTCTTAAGTTCATGCAATATTTTAGCCTTTTTTGCATTACATTAAGATGAGTAACATACTATACATTTACTGTTGTACATAAGCACCACTATCATTTCCTTTCTTTTCTTGAACACCATTGTTAGAGTAATTCTTTTTTTTTATTATTATTCACAATACCTCCCACATAGATCAGTTTCTTAATACCTACAACAATCATTATATTATTTGGTGAAGTTACAACTATTTTCATCTTTAGAAAAATCATCATTACCTAGATATTTTGAGGATGCGCCAAACCTTGACTCTTGCGGCGTAGAGGGCACAAAGTATGGCGTGAAGAAAGGGTATAAGTCCTAGAATCACTGTAGACATTATTGCAATCGTTGTTCCAGGACTAGTCCAGTCTAGTACAGGGTACAGTGCAGAGCGACCTTGGTAATCCTGAGGAAACAGTGATGCAGAAATTAATGAAAAGAAATTAAATAACAAAGCAAATTAACAAAAACTGTTCATTAGAAGTGAGACCTCCATACAATGGACTTCTCTCTCCACATAAACTGTGAGATGGGGATTTCACATTCAATGGACCCTTGATATACAGTAATGAACTCTTATCTCTATATGGTTCGTTAGATGAAGACTTCACATCTAATGGGCCCTAAATATAAAGTACTTTCCTCTCCATGCAGTCCATTAAATTGAGAGAGATTGTGGTTAGGTTAGGTGAGGAATGAGAGTTTGTAGTTAAGGATTATGATAAGTTTTGCACATGACATTAATAAAAACAATATTAACTTTTTCTTTAAGTCTTGGAAGTTAAATTTGAAAAACTTACCATGGGTTACAAAGGAGCCATAGCTGATAATGGCAAAAGACTTCATAAAACAACTAATCATCACTCGGTATGTTTTGGAATATTATTAATATAAAACCATTAACAACTCACTAGATGTAAAAATAACATACCAGACCGCCACACAGGTAGTAGGTAAGGTTGAAGAAGGTGTAGGCAATGATGAAGAGTGATGGTTGGTAGGCGTGAAGCAGACGACGAGGGGTTGCCGAAATGGCCACATCCAACAAGATATAAAGCCCAGGCATAATGTGGGTATTTACACCTATCTCATTCAGTTCTTCATCTGTGAAATACAAAGAGGTTCATAAACAAATAAGAACTCAAAGTTAAATGTGCAATAATCATAAATGTATCTGATGTGTGGCGGGCAGTGGGTAGGTGACCTAGTTTATGATAAGAGGGATAAAATGAGGGCTATATTAACCCTTTAAGTCCTAACTATAAACAACATACACAAGTCTATGTCTACTGTTCTCCTCCCAGCTACAGTACTGTATATTTTATGTACAAATTTATTTTTCTGCCCCAAATTGAAAGTTTTGGGTTTCTAATTGCCATACTACCATCTAGAGTGTCAACTGTGGTACAATATCCCTTTCTGTATCTGGCAATAGTGTGCTGAAGTTACTGCACAGTATATAAGGTGTCACCTATGTGTGTTTCTTCATAATGAAGTGCGTTTTCTTTTAGTTATTGAAGATACTCAACTCTGTACAGTTGTTTTGTTCAGAAATCAATACTAGCAACAAGCAAGTACAGTAGTATAAATGAGTCAGTGCAGTTTTTTCACCTTCAAAATAAAAATGTTGTAAGTGAGCCAGTACAAAGCAGGAGCCACTGAACTTTAATCTGTTATTTGAAATGTTCTATTTTCCTCGTTTTATTTTGTGATTATTGTCCAAGTCATGAAATAATGATAGAAATAGGTCAGGGGTCAACACTTGTTTCCTCCTGCAGCCAATGGAAATACAGTGATATCTCCGTTAGCCGGAACAATTGGTGCAGAGCACTTCCAGGAATGTGAGATTTCCGGCTAACGAGACGAATCTCTCTAACCCGGAAAAAACTCCCCCATCCCCAGAATTTTCCGTGTACCGGGAAAAATTTTCTCGCAATTTTCCGGAAAATGTGCCCCTCGGAAAATTTCAATTCCGGCTATGGGAAAGTTCCGGGTTTGAGGGATTCCGGCTAACAGAGATATTACTGTACAGGTATCCCTTATTATACAAATAAGGGATAACATAGCATATGGAAAAAATAGAGTTCGGTTCCCCAATTGACTATAAAAAAAAAAAACCCACTGATGACATGTAGTTTTGAGTCATGCTGGGCAGGGGGGCTACAGAGGCAATATTCACTGTCAGGCAACTACAAGAGAAGTATCTAGGGAAGGAGAGAAAAAGCTGTAGCTTATACCTGTAATTGTAGAATTAAAAAAGTATGTGACAGGGTACTACCTCATAGGGTACTACATAAGGTAGTACACTGGGCAATGCGAGAGCTAGGGGGTCAAGGAGTGTCTTGTGCAAGTGTGAAAAATAGAGGTTCATTAAGGGTTTGTCTTGAGGCCTCTTATGTTTATCATGGAGCTATAGACATTATTGTGGGATTTACGGGTCTACCCTGGGAGTTGTTGTATGCAGATTGCTTAGTGATAAAGGCAGGTAGCATTGAAAAGGTAGAGAACAAATTTAAAAACTGGAAGGATGGCAGTGTGCTGTTTGCAAGAAAGGTGTTAACAGTAACTCAATGATGTCCAATGAGTGTGGAAGGTGGGTACACAAGAGATGTAGTGGAGTAGATGGTTGACTGTAGGATATTGCTAACTTTAAAGTGTCCTGTATGTGCTGGTAATCATGTGGTCATAGCATGGATGTAGAAAGCAAACATCAAGGATTGTGCTGATGAGTTCTGTTACCTGGGTGACATGATCAGTGCTGGAGGTGGTGCTAAAGCTAGCTCAGCTACAAGTCAGAAATGGCTGGAGGAAGTTTAGGGTGTCACTGCCTCTACTAATGGATAGAAGACTGGCGTGAGAAGCGTGATGTTGTATGATCGTGAACATAAGTAGTTATATAGGGTGTCATACATTGGTTTGAGTGAGTTGAACTGAAAATGGTGAGATGGATGCTTAATGTGCCACACTGTTGAGAGCTTCCAATTTTCACACTATGTTGATACATAGTCATGAGAAGTTTCACTGACCTAGACATTTATCAACTGAAGTAACTAAAAACTATCCTCATCTATAAATAATGTGATGGCCATCTTCTAAGTCTGAAATCAAGCTGACTGAAAGCAAAAGAGTAGTTGTGTTAACTTTACAAGATAAACAAATAAGGTTAACACTACATGCCTCTTCTAGTTGGGGGTAAACAAATGAACCTTTACTCTTAAATCTTCAAGGTTTTACAGCGGTACTAATATTTTTCATATGACTTTAAAGTTAATTATCATTCTTCCTATAGCACCAAATTCTTCACCAAGTCTTACAAGTTCTGCTCTTGGATCTATAAAAGTTGGGGGGAGGAGATGGTCAACTACTGGAATGAATGAACTACCTATACTGTAGTGCACTATACAGTACTATACTATATATATATATATATATATATACTGTATATATATATATATATATATATATATATATATATATATATATATATATATATATATATATATATATATATATATATATATATATATATATATATATATATATATTAGGTAAAAAAGGCATAGTTTTACATAAAATAAACCCTATTCTTTAGACTACACTAGATCGCTTTAATATAACTCTACAACTTCGACAGCAGAACCAATATGCCATTTTACTAAAATTATAAAGGTTTATACTCTGATCTCAGTGCATGTTGTCCCAAACTATAGTATTTCATGTTTATCTGAAGAAGTGAAAGTGAGTCCCATTACCATGATGGGTCATTAGAGACAGTGTAGATGCACAAGGAGGCAGCGAGGCCATCACTGCACACAACCTACCACCTTCACATCTCCTACACTTAGGGTGGGGCGAGTATTGTATCTACAGTACTCGGTATCCACACTCCACATCAGGAGGTAAAGTGTTTTAAAGCATAAAACTACCATGTATGCTAGACAGAAAATAAGCTTGAAACAAAGTTACTGTATTCAGTAAACATGTTTGTGATGCAAGGTGGTGACCCAGGCCAGTACAGTAGTGAGGAAAAGAAAATGCCGGAGACTTGAGCAGAACGTGAAGTGTGAGTAGGCACCAGTTTTCATGTACTGTACAAGGACACTCTACACACCTGGTAAGCTCTCTGTTGCCTGGGACTCACCACTCCTGTTAGGATAAACAGTGATCCAGTATGCTGAGGTAATGAAGAGATGAACTGCCCCTGTGATGTTGGAGAGTGTCCACGACACCTTCATCAGCCCCGTCATTGAAGGATATGAAGCATCACCTACAAGTTCAAGGAGTTACATACATACATACATATAGAGGACCCCCAAATTCGCTGGGGCTATGTTCTCAAAATGGCCGCAATTCACAAAATCCGCGAATAACATTACATTATTACTTGTGTACAAAAAATGTATATTCCCTTTGAGTTTGCCCTTAAGACAATTATTTCTTTTACCTATATTGTATACATGTATGTATGTGTGTGTGTGTGTGTGTGTGTGTGTGTAGACACACACATAAAACACATACCTGTATACAAATAAATAATAATGGGAAAATACTTTCACAAATAATCAGACACAAAATTTATTAAAAATGTAAGTCTACCCTCAAGTCCGTGCTTTGTTACAGTACTTTATTAATAAAGAACGAACTTGAGGGTAGACTGTCACATTTGTAATAAATTTGTTTCTGATTTTTGTGAGAGGATTTTCCAATTATTATTTATTTGTATGTGTTTTGTCTGTATATATATATATATATATATATATATATATATATATATATATATATATATATATATATATATATATATATATATATATATATATATATATATATATATATATATATATATATATATACAGGTAAAGAAAATTACTGTCTCTAGAACGAATGGTTCCCTGTCCCAGCCGCAAAAATGCCGGCAACTTTAAAACTACCCACAGACATCCTTGGGTACATCCAGGGTGTCATCGGTGAATAATAAAGGACCGCGAAATAAAAATCCGCTAACTTGGAGGCCCCCTGTACTGTACTAATTTCTATAGTCCATATGATTGTTATGATACTTATTAATAAATAAAAATAGTTAATCAAGAATAAGTTACAGCTACAGATGAAGCAAGATCCATTAATTATGTATAGTTAATATACACAAAATTACACCACATAAGAAACTTGTACTGAAGTGAGACTTACCATCCTCTGAAATTTTCTTGAAGTGAAGAACAATATTAAAGGCCTGAATTGTTGTATCTATTGCAAGCGTCCAAAGGCCCCAGTTAGTCATGTACACCATGAAATATCCTTTCATGGAAATATTTGCATCATAGCCCATAGACCCTACCCAGGCCCACACAGCCCACATACAGAAGTACAGAGCCCAGAACAGACGGTAACCCAGATACAGGCATGACATACGGTTGTGCTGTTGCCACTGAAATATAATAAACAGAATTAATAACTTTGCCAAACAATACTTGGTATACACCTACCAGTAAGGACACTATACAAGTTTTACACCTACCAGGACACTATACAGGCTATACACCTACCAGGACACTATACAGGCTATACACCTACCAGGACACTATACAGGCTATACACCTACCAGGACACTATACAGGCTATACACCTACCAGGACACTATACAGGCTATACACCTACCGGGACACTATACAGGCTATACACCTACCGGGACACTATACAGGCTATACACCTACTTGTGAGGAGACAAAAAGGTGAGGAGCTTTGTGGTGAAGATAGAGGTTATCTGCTTTAAACTCTTGACGTACACGCTGGAGCCCCACACTACGGCGCTGTACCTGTGTCAATAAACGACATCATCAACACACACACACACACACTAAAAGGAAGAGTAATTAGTGATCCTCAAAGCCTGTATGACGATAGAAGCCTGGACTGAGCACATATACCCAATACAGTAAGTCTAAAATATTAACCCCCAAGAGTGAGGACTCTGACCTCACGAGTACAATGTTAACTTGTCGTATCTACTTAAGGAAATAGGTCATTGTATAGGAGGTCCCCGACTTACGAATGCCCACCAATACAAACAAGGTTAAATTTGAAATTTACAGTATTTTATTTACCTGGTGACATTTTATTTTTTTTACTTTCCTTTGCTGTATTTTGTCATTCTATTTCTTTTTAAATTAAGTGACCTTAGATGTATATAAGGACTTAAACTATGATATAATAGGATTTTTAACATTGTTTGGTAAGTACAGTATGCATATAGCACGTGATCCTACTGACGTACAAACCCGCCTTACGAACGTCCTCAGGAACGGAACCCGCTTGTAACCCGGGGACCTCCCCTGTACTCAAAGTATCAGGCCATCATACTTAAGGGGTTAATTCATTGTAATCAAAGGGTTGTCATTGTAATTAAGGGGTTAATTCATTGTAATAAAGGGATTAAATCATTGTAATCAAGGGGCTAAGTCACTGTAATCAAAGGGTTAAGTCATTGAAATTAAGGGATTAATTCATTGTAATCAATGGGTTAAGTCATTGTAATCAAGGGGTTAATTGTAATCAAAGGGTTAAGTCATTGTAATTAAGGGGTTAAGTCATTGTAATCAAGGGATTAATTCATTGTACTGAAATGGTTAATGGTTGGGACCAATTCATGAATTATTTAGTCCTCCCACCATAAAAAGTGCCTCAACACAAGACTTTAATAAACAAGAGACAGTCACGATTAACAGTAATAGGTTGAGTTAGGTGAGGTTTGGGTAGGTTAGGTAGAAGGTTATACAGGTATACTTCTCAGCATTTACATGAGCTTCATTACTTTTTGATAATTACATCACTGCTAAATTGTTAATATATGCTTAGCTGATGAGCCTCCTTCCCTTTAAACCTCCTGAAGAAGTGGTGGCCATGAGGCTGTGTTTCTTGACAGTGCTGCTCGTTTATAATTTGACTGGCCCTGACGATTCATCCTAAGAGATACAGTGCAACCTCTATTTAAGGTTATATTGAGGGCCCATTACATGTGAAGCCTCCATCTAACGAAGTACAGTACATAAATGTGAAGGTCCGTTATATTGAGGGTCCATTACATGTGAAGCCTCCATCTAACGAAGTACAGTACATAAATGTGAAGGTCCGTTATATTGAGGGTCCATTATATGTAGTGAAGGGGGTATTTGGTGGTGAAAAGGGGGTATTTGGTGGTGAAAGGGGTGTTTTGGTGTTTGGTGGTGAAAGGGGTTTTGGTGATGAAAGGTATTTGGTGGTGAAAGAGGTGGTGAAAGAATAAAGGGGGGTGGTGATATTTGGTGGTGAAAGGGGGTATTTGTGATGAAAATGGTGGTGAAAGGGGGTATTTGGTGGTGAAAGGGGGTATTTGGTGGTGAAAGGGGGTATTTGGTGGTGAAAGGGGGTATTTGGTGGTGAAAGGGGGTATTTGGTGGTGAAAGGGGGTATTTGGTGGTGAAAGGGGGTATTTGGTGGTGAAAGGGGGTATTTCGTGGTGTAAGGGGGTATTTCGATGGTGAAAGGGGGTATTTCGTGGTGTAAGGGGGTATTTCGTGGTGTAAGGGGGTATTTCGTGGTGAACACACACACACACACACACACACACACACAACAAGAGCAGATCACAAACCTTAATGTCGTAAAAGTGAACTTGATACTCTGACGCGCCATTGTGATATCCGACCACCGTTTCCATAGCCTTGTAATGTACCGCCTTTCAAGATATATTGGTTCAAATTTATTCAACTTTTTATCCAGTCAACTGTTTCTTTATAGTACCACATATTCTTGTTCACCTTTCACTTTTTTTTAATTCTCTCAGTTTATCACACGTTATATAATTATTACTACTTTCAGTATTTTGTTAATTTTTTATCTTTTATATTTACGTCATTCTTAAGAGGAAAAAATAAGTCAAGTTTGATCAGCCACTAAACATACTGTACTGTCCGTTAAACATGATGCTGTTTGTTCCCTGTCTGTTAACTGATGGTGTCTGTTCCTTGTTCCCAGGTAAAACAGATGATAGAGGGAGTTAAGCTCGGTGAATTACAGTGAAACCTCTATTTAAATGCCTGGAGAGGGAAGTCGTTATATAGGGGGTCCATTAGATGTGAAACCTCCATCTAACGAACTATATCAGAGGTTCTTAAACTGGGGGACGCGCCCCCGCCACAAGATTCCAAGAGGGGCGCGAGCGGTCAGAGAGAAAAGTTTAATCAGGAACTGAACGAGTCTTGTACACGATTGCTCATCCTTCCCACTCTATATAACCAAGGGGGAGGAGGAGATCTAGGACTTATGCGTAGGGGGGGGGGGGCAAAAAAAGTTTAAGAACCACTGATAATCAAATACTAAGCTTATTTTGGTATATAGTTTAACATTCATTTATGTAATTAAACGTATGGGCTGTGGCCGAGTGAATACGGTACTCGACTGCTGTTCTGACGGTCACGGTTGAGAATCCCAGTTCACCCAGCTATGAATGGGTACAGCACCTGACTTTACAGCTTAGGGAAAATACCTGTCTAGTGCAGTACCGGCCACGCTTGGTATTCAATGTTGCATACGTCACGTTCTGGTGTTTCTGTCAGGTTTCTTCACGTGTTTAGATGGTATATATGGTGTGGTGGAGGGAGATATGTGTGGTGGTGGTGGTGTGGTAGAGGGAGGAGAGCGTGATGGTGGTGGAGGAAGGAGAGTGTGTGGTGGTGGTGGTGGTGGTGGAGGAGGAGGAGGGAGGTGTGTGGTGGTGGTGGTGAAAGGGAGGAGAGTGCGTGCGGTAGTGGTGGTGGTGAGAGGGAGGAGAGTGCGTGCGGTAGTAGTGGTGGTGAGAGGGAGGAGAGTGCGTGTGGAGTGACAAGGACAGAGCGATTACAAGGAGCAATCAAAATAATAATAAACCTGATGATAAAACGGAAAAAAACTAAAACAAATATAAAAAACAAACAAACAAAAAAAGAAAATGATAGGGTAGTAAAGGAAAGAATAGAGAGAGAGAGAGAGAGAGAGTAGAGAGAGAGAGAGGTAGAGAGAGGGTGTACAGATATAAGCGTGGGAAGGGAAGGAGAGCGGCGCATGACGTTATGAATCTTGTGTACATCGATATTAAGACCCCCCCCCTGACCCCCCTCCCCGCCACCACCACCACCACTGACATTACTATTACTACTACCACCACCATCACCACTACTACTACTACTACCATAACCTACCACGACTACTATACCACCACCACTATTATCACCCCACCATTACCACCTATCCATCTGTCAACAACTTGTACACCAAATTCACTCAGGTTTTATACATACATGGAACTTGTCTTCTTTTAACGAATCACTGTACGAATATTTTGACACTGTGTATGACAAACTAACGCGCCTAATTTCTGTGTATTTTGTTAAGTTTGTGGAGGAAAGGAGTTTGAGACGCATTAATGTGCTGATAGGTTAATACATGATGTTGAGTCACCTGTCTACCGTAGTCTCTTTAATACGCCATACACACACTTTGGTCATAAACTGATCTAAATATTTTTTCAGGTGTCGTTTCTGTGACATTTTCAATCATTTCACTCTTTCCATATTTATTTAGTATATTCGTGATGGATGGTGGTTTTGTTCGCTAGCAAGTAGAAGCAGCGAATCGATGACCCAAGCGGAGTATGAACTAGTTATAACCTAGCTTGTATTAGGCATAAGGTCACACGGGGGAAGCTGCAAGCAAGGAGGCGTCATCACGACACACACTGCCCATTGCTCTAATCCTCTGCCTTGGTGAACGCTATCCACAGCCATGGTATATGAGGTGGCACCAGAGATCACAGAGTCTAGGACGTCCTTAAGCAGCAGCAGGAGAGGGTGTGAGGACGGCCAGTGTGGACGGGGGAGCGAGACCGAGTGAGAGGTGGAATAGGCGCTCACCAGGAAGGCAGACACCACGCTTTGTCAATACATCGTTCCATTCCTCAGATCAAAATAGTGGCGCGTGATCCACCGGAAGTAATATGTGAAGGCAATGGTTGTGTAGGATCGTGTGACCCCCTCTTGCTAGTATACACGTTCATACACTGGTTATACATCAACACGATCCGTAAGATACTTCAGTACGCTTGATTATCATCTTGGAACACGTACTGTGAGCCATACCAGGAGTGTTTAGGTATGCAATATGTGAGCTGCACTGATCAATATGGACAAGGTGATGGAGGTCCTCACTTCACTTCACCACAGAACCTTATGATCGATATCCTTAACTCGTCGCCCCTGCTCCTCTCTCTCATGGGCGCTTTCGTTCTTTTCTGAAACGAAGGTGTGTGTGTATGTGTGTATGTGTGTGTGTGTGTGTGTGTGTGTGTGTGTGTGTGTGTGTGTGCGCGTTTACTGAGCGATGACCATACGAGCGCGTACCCTATACCACCCTGACCAAATTGCAGCAATCATGGCATAGGGGCCAAGTAACTGTGGCCATCACGCGATCCCCACCTTATTTAGCCCCTATGCAAACACCATGCCACCCCCACCTACACCATATACTTATTTCTCGTGTAATAAATCTTAAGCTACTTGAGTTCCTCTTATTATGTAATCTATTGTACCTGCATAAGCTGATGGGAGAACGAATGTGTACAGTCAGTCACCCACAAATCCTGTCACGTCTCCTGTTCCACGAACCCTGAGATTTCAGACTCGTGAACCCGAAGCAGTAGACACTGATCCATTACTATTTTCATAGATACTTCGGATTCATGAGTCTGAATCTCGGGGTTCGTGGTTCAGGAGGAGACGACAGGACTTCTGTGGGCAACTGTACA